ACTTTTCCTCATTTCTTTCAGCTGGAATACGAAAAAACACACACGCTTTACGTTTATATCGCTATTCTAACGATCAGAACACCCAACGACGCAGTATATGGCATCTTGTAGAATTAAAACAGCAAATCCTTCAATTATAAACCAGTGACTCAGCGGTAAGTCTGAAAGCTCATATCTGATGAAAACAGGATTTCAATACCCGTTGTGAGAACGCATTCACTTACTCTATCACTAGGTTCGCTGTTAACGTGAGCGAAAAGGCCTAAATTTATTTAATACTTTTAATTTATTCTACTTTAACATTTGTTTAAGTGAGTACATTTACATATGTATTAAATAACGATTAGTTTTTATTCATTTCTTTATGCTCCTTCTTTAGATTGGACTCTTTACTCAGTAATTAACACATAACACATGTACTAAACTGACAGTTAGGTTCATATTCATGCTTTCATAATCATGAAACCCCACCCAATGGCACAGCGGTACGTCTGCGGACTTACACTGCTTAAAACCGAGTTTCGATACCCGTGGTGGGCAGAGCACAGATAGCCAATTATACAGCTTTGTGCTTTACTACAAAAACAAACAAACATAATCATGAAAAACCAAATTGACTATTTTTGCAAAATCGTACGATAAAGAGTTGAATTTTCTCTACACGAAAATATAATTTTAACTGAAGATTATATGTACTAGAATTTGTTGTAAACAATTTTGTGAAAACAGTTTACAAGAATTCAATTTCTAAAAGCTAGAAATAAACAAATTACAAACAGTAAACTCTGGAATAACTTGTGTCCATTGTTTCGCCTTCCTCATAACTTATGCCTGTAGGTGCTTCTAGAAGCGTGAGCGTAAGCAAATTTGTTATTTTCAAGCTGAGCAGCACACGTAGGTGAACTGGCCAGGTCAGAAAACCCTAAGGCCCAGCTACAGTCATCCCTAATTTAGAACTGTTGAACAGAGGGATGGCAAATAGCCAGAAACCAGCAATAACAGGTACCTACGGATGTTACTCTTATCGAAATATAGGGATTTATTGTTACAGTTATAACGCTCTAAAATATGAAATTACAGAGCGCAATTTGCGGTATATCGCAGCTCAAACCTAGAACCTTCCAATCAGCAGCTGATATCTGTGTCACGCCACAAGTATTTTTGTTTATATTATCAGATGAGACACCATAATGCTTAGAATATATAATATAATGAAAAATTCAAAAATAGCTAGAAGCAAGGTCATGGCTCATATCAATAGAATAACTAATCCATAAATCTAGACTTGCACCTTAGGCAGACCTTTCTTTCTTTATCTTTATTGTCATTATCAACTATGAGCAAATAAAAAGTTTTGATCAACTTTGTTTATCTGGATTGAGAACGAACTGTTACCAGGTTTCAATTTTCTTAAGTTATTTTCAAGTAAACATAAAAGCAGGATAGTTTTCCGTTTGAACTCTACAAAATGCTTATTCTACCAATGCCTACTGTGGAACTCTAAGGTAAAAATGGAGCATATGGGTAAGTTAATTGAGACCACAATAATAGGAAGTTCTAAAGTTATTTAATTAAATCGTGAATAAAGCTGAGAATCAACAGCCTATTCATGGACATGTTACAGGCTTAGGCCTAAGAACACGGAGAGACCATCAGAATGGAAAAAATTAAGGATTACAACTTTGTTTACGTTTTCCCCATTACTAAGCCACTGACCCAACCACAACCGAAAATGGAACTTCATGCGAAGAAGGTTCTTCTCTCTATCTGGTGGGATTGCAAAGGAATTATTCACTTTGAGTTGCTGCCAACTAATGCGACAATCAATGCTCAAGTCTGTTGTCAGAAATTAGAGCGTTTGAACGCGGCTTTAAAGAAAAAAAGACCCGTTTTAGTGAATCGAAGAGGAGTGGTGTTTCATCAGGACAATACACGACCCCACACTGCAAAAATCCCAGAAGATTCCTCATCCGCCTTATTCTCCCGACCTGGCTCCTTCAGACTACCATTTGTTCCATAGTTTACAGAATCATTTGGATGGATTAACTCACACAAGCCATGAGGAGGTCGAAACTGACATTTCAGAGTTCTTCTCTTCGAAACCGAAAGTTTTTTAGTAATGGGATTAAAAAGCTTGTAAGTAGATGAAAAAGAAGTCATAGATAATCATGGAAACTACATTGATGATTAAATTTCAATAAAATGTAAGATTTGATCACTCGTTTTCTTTATTTAAAATCCGGACAGAACTTATGGGATGACCTGATAGAAGTGTCTATGGTCAAAAAGACTGCAGCCGAGAGTTTATGAGAAATATTAACTGATCATAATTTTTAACTTTCCTAAAAATTTAGACTAGATTATGATCATATTCATTACTTTGTTTAGTTTATTAAAATAGAACAAAAGATTCTTCGAAAGGCTTTCTTAACCCCTTTAAATTGTTGAAAATCGTTTACGAATGGGTGTTTGCCCCCCTCTAACCTCTACCACGAGTTGGAGGGGAACAAACCTTTTCCCTTGTGTCTCTTCTGTCAAAAGTTAGGGAGAATCCTGCACAGATTTAGACAGATACATTTTGTGGTATGTTCGGGTGAACTGAGTTAATTGTACAGCTATAATGGTTAGGTAACTGGAGACTCGATCAAGATATCGATTATTGAGTAATACTAAAAATATTACTGAACTAAATCGATGTTAAACAGAATAATGAGAATGGACACTGGAGTAAAACAAAATTACGACAAGCTTTATTAGGTGTGAAACACAAACAAAGTACGTTTATACTTACGTCAGATCATGCTTCTACTGAATTTTTTTAGGTTAGGAATATCTGCCAGACTGCCAACTTCAGGGTTTCTTAGATTCAAAGAAAGTTTCTAATTACCAATCCGACATGCGGTACCACGTGGTTGGTCATTCTCATTACACACAGGTGAGGCCGTAGCCTCTACATATCACCCGAACAACCGCTGAAGGGAACTGCTGTCAATATCCTTACACACGGTCACATTAAGGAAATTTCTCTATGGATTAACAGATATTACCTACTGGAGATTAACAAAAAAGTAAGGGTAAAAAAATCAACTTAACGGTTTTCTTGACCATGTATTCTGTAACGAGAAGATAGAAAAGCCTAGTACATTCATATACCACAATACAGTGGCTACGAATACACAAATATAGTTAAAAGAAATACTTGTTGGCTAAAACTTTGGCAATAACAAAATTACCATGGGTTGGCCCTGTACACGTACAAGCACTTGATTCATCAACAAAGGCCTTATAATGGAGTAAAAAACAGGCAAAAGGAACTTCAAGCTCATTATACCCATCTCACTTTTGTTTTCTAGGTAGAATGGACAAGTACTAAGAATTGGAAGACTTAATAGAGAATGTTACCAGTAATGAATATGCATGGTTTACTAAGAAACAATAAAAAATATTTCATCTCTTTGACATTTTGTTGTAAATATGATAAGTTTTAAAATTAAAGTCTATTCTATTATTTCTTCACTAGACGCTACCCGCGAAACATTTGCGATATTTTCCATATTCTATCATTTTCACACATGCCATTAAAGCTATGCTTTCTTACAAGCATTATCTGTTAGATCGATAAATCCCGGTCTATTTGAAAAAAAAAATACGTGGTCTGACAAACAAACTCACGTAGATGCAACTTTATTTAATGAAATTATACGTACAGTAAACAATAAAGTAATAGTACTTATAATAGTGTATATAGTATGAAAGAGTTATGAGCATTTAGTGAATGACATGGTTTTACCAGTTGAAACAAAGAAACCCACAAAAACGAAGAATAAAACCCGTAGTAGAGAAAACGTAGCTAAAAGGTGGTTATAACAGTCTATGGAATCAACCAAAGCTAAATTATTGCAAAGTAAATGTAAAGTCGTAATGAAGGCAAACTTAGCTGAATATGCAAAAACGTCTGAATGTGTGTTCACAAAGTGATAAGCATATAGTTTAGTTTTGAACAAACTGAGCATGCGTATTTTAGATCAAAACGGGTCGAGAAGCCCACAGAAATAGATTTAGTGTGAAGTTATATTTTTTAAGGAAACTACGCACTTAGTGTTGTTTGTTTGTAATAATTTGCAAGTGAAAAACTAAAGTTGAAATCAAAGCCAGTTGGCAACGATATTGTGCTATCATATACCTTACTCGTTGCATTGAAGAGTTTGACTAAGCAAAAATCAGGTAAGATGATTCAGAATTGAAAAGTCAATACACAATCCAGACTCCTCCGACAAAGGCCTTTCTAACATCAGATTTGTAGCGAGAAATTCGCAAGAGAAGTTCTGGACAGACAAACAAATGCATATTAATTATACAGATTATCTTCATTAACAGTATTGGCTGAAATGTTGTTTATATTTATTAGTTTTAATTTTTATTATTATACTTTTATTGTAGATTGTTTTGCACTGTTAGCTTAATACATGTATTTAAATCTAATCAAGATATAATTGGGTTTATGACCGAAACAATCGTTAACAATGAGGGTACCGAACTCATGAAGCAATGCAATTTAATCTTTGCAAGTACATACGTAAGAAAAGTATATTCAATTAGCTATACCCATTATCAGGTGGTTGACTTTTAGCTTTGCTCTAAGCAGATAACCTGCTTTCACCAGAAGTTAATATTAATCAGATGAGAAATCCACACAGATGAAAGATGGTTTTGGTAAGAAACTTTTCTTATGATTGAAATTACATTGCAATGTAGAAGTCAAATAACATATAATTTTATAAAAGTTAGGTTTTCACATATAAAAAAAATTCAAGGTGAGTCTTGACATATGGACCATTTCAATGCCAAAACCACAAGATAGAAGAATTCTATTAAAAAAAAAGGATCAGATATATTGGTACAATCATAGGATCACATTATTTTACATTTATTCTCTTTTTATTTTATTTTAAATGAAATACAGAAGTCTTCAGTAAATAAAAATACACACTAAATGCTTGTCTTCTACAAACACATTAATTTTCCACATTACAATGGACGTTTTTTTGGTATTTTGGATTCTTTATCTGATGAGGAAGGTTTTTTCTTTTTCTCTTCTTCCTAGAAATAGCATACGATATCATTATTTCTTTCAATTCAAAAAGTAAAACCTTTCAAAATCCAAATACTACTCTAACTAAATCTAAATATTTGCTGGTTAGATTTAATTTCTAAAATCGAAACTTTTATCTACACATATCATTTGCAGATCAAAAGGTCCAAGATCCGAGACATGGTGCTCTGCCCTTTCTGATGTAGGTGCATTGTAAAATTGACCATTGTGGCAGGGGGTAATACTTGAACATTCTCCTTCTGGTCAGTTGTTCTAAATTATGAAAGGCGATACCTAATTCACAGGTGTCTCTAAACTGGCTATTTAAGTGTTAAAATTGAGCAAAGAAAACAGACATCAAATACCACCATTGCAATAGCTAACAGGAAAATTTCTGTAAATAAGAAGGGAGTATATTACTTTCCACTCGGGTCAATTCAATTTTAACTCCTATCCCTGTCTTGTGCATCATATGTGATAAACAGCTATATTTATTTGATATGCAGCTGAAGTTTACAAACATGTCAACAGAAACCGGTTGTTCTGGTTCAACATATGAGATTAAAGCATCACAGGTGATGCTCAGTGTGCATGTCAATGATGAAAGGTTAAGTAACTTTCACTCAACCTAGGATAAATACAACAAATTGTGGTATTAATTGTTTCAATAATACTAGAAAGATATGCTTCACTCATACCTACTTGGGTAAGTAGTCAAATAAGTGTATCCAAAAAAACCATTAAATCACCTAAAACAGGGAAAGAGTTAAGAGACATGATAACTTTGGAGGTGAAAAAAATCCAGAAGTATATATAACACTGAACATTACCACAAGAAATACCTTCAAACTTATATTGTAACATAATGCTTGGAGACAGTTTAAATGGGTAATGAAGAAAAACTTTAATACAAGTTTAACGTAACAGCAAATGTACATTTCGAAAAGGTTTTGTCATCATCAGGTACAAGTAGTTTCCACT